TCTTAAGACAAAAGTTTAAAGACGTCACTTGTCTAAAGACATGTCTTGAGACATTCCAGAGCAGAAAATAGGATTCAACCTGACATATTTTTGTGTCTTGAAGACATGAAGTGTCTGAAGACATTTTAAGACACATTTGCTTTGTCTTTAGACATCCACATCTTAAGACGGCTTCAGCTTCATGGTTTGAAGCTTGACGGCTTCATGGTCAAGCTATTTTGTTTCAACTGGAGTATTATGAAGATAATGTTATGTTATGTTATGTTCAATAAGTTATTAAACAATCTTTGGATGACACAACATATCTGGAGTTGTTAATTTTCTGTAATTACGACTCCAACTCCAAAAAAGTGGGGACACTGTATAAAATATAGATAAAAACAGAATTTGGTGGTTTGCAAATAATTTAAACCTTATCTTTAATTGAAAATAGTGCAAACACAAGATCTCAAATGTTGGAGCAGGAGAATCCTCCAGATTCTCTAAAAAATTTATCCTAATTTACTGTGTTTGATAAAGTCCTCTAATTTTTTGCACTTATTGGGTTGAGAGCCATCATCCTGCAAATGATGTTTTACTCTCGCAGTTCCTCACAAAATGGTGACTCATCCTTTTTGGAAAGACCCGTGTATACTCAGTCTTATAACCAAACCTTTCACAGTTTAACTCTATTTGTTGGGAGATGCCGATCATGGTGTTTCTGTTTGGGATTTCACAACTTTCTGAAGTAACTTTGTAATGTAGTTCTGGCATCATATTTAAATTGAACATCCATTTTCATCATACTTAAAAGAGAAATAAAAGCATGATAGAAATAGTTGTAGCTGATCGATTGGCAGGTCTTAGGCTTTCAGAAGTGTGAAATATTGGGTTACTGCCTGGTATTATACTTCTGAGCTGAACTTCAAATTGTGAGCTTGATTTTGTTAAAGAACATTAAGTACCCCAAGCAGATTGACACTGATGGAGGAGTTGATCATTTCCATGACAGAAGAATTCCCCTTCACAGCAGGAGGGAAGAGAAAGCAATTACTTCTGTCTGATTGGTCTGTAAGTTTGACATGTCTGCAGGGACTCTAAAGATGGCAGTCAGTCTTTGCACTATTTCCCACCTGATACAGAGTTGAAATGATTTGCAAACCATCAGTTTACATTTTTATTAACAACTTTTTCAGGTTGTATTATGTGTTATTGCTGCTGTTTAAAGAACGATTTATGTGACTGCCTCTCACTGAGGGAAGAAGTAAAGCTTTTCGACCGTTGAAACAGGATGTTTAGCTTAATCTGAGATGCCTAAGTGGTCCTTATCTGTTTTGTTTTTTGGTGTCTTATGTTGAGCTTCATTTTCTCTGGAAGTCAGATTTCAAAGCCGGGAATGTTGTCCCACCTGAAAGTTGGTAAGTAGTCCCTGTTCTTGGTGGTACTGTTAGCTAGCCAATATAAACACACTTCATGGTACAAAACCCAATTCCATTGAAGTTGGGAAATTGTGATAAATAAATAAAAACAGAATACAATGATTTGCAAATTATTTTTATTGAATCCTTATATAATCCTTATATTCAATTGAATACACTACAAAGACAAGATATTAAATGTTTAAACTCAAACTTTATTTTTTTTCTGCCAATAATAATTCACTCAGAATTTCATGGATGCTTATAACCATGGTCAATAACACAGTTATGTGATTTTGTATGGGGGTTGGATATTTGTTAATAAAAATATCCGGCCATTTGTGTACAAGGCCTCAGAGTAAGAAATCCAACTTAGGGTCAAATGGCTCACACCATTATTAGCTCATTGCAGAATGGGCAGCTTTTTGGTTCATCACACAGTGAATGGAAATAAAATTTGCCTGTACACTGAACTAAACTACTGTATATCTGTCAGTGCATAAAATCCTGCAAACATTGCAGGAAACTGATGGTCACACATATTGACAAAACAGCTCATTCTTTCTACAGTATAGCAATTTAAGTATAACAGCTGTGTCCACATAACTGATCTCTTCTATGAACCACGATCAATTTAGTTTCTGCTTCCAACACAGCATTGAAACTGCTCTGGTCAAGGTCTCCAACAATTTATTGCTTGCTGCTGATTCTGGCGTGAACTCCATGCTGATTCTTCACGACCTTAGTTCAGCCTCTGATACAGTCAACCACTATGTCTTACTCAGCTGTCTGAAATGCTATTAGAATTAGTGATGTGGTGCTGGATTGGTTCATTTCCCATCCACCAGACAGGTCTTTTTCTGTAATGCTTGGAAATGCCTCCACCCCTTGTGCTCCTCTGTCATGTGGGGTCCCTCACAGGTCCGTCTTAGTTCCCTTCTTTTTTACTATGTGCAGCATTAGCTGGGGCAGATCCTACACGGGCACTATCTAGACTTTCATTGCCATGCAGATTACATTCAGCTCCAGGCTCTGTTGAAATCCAGCACCTCTGATGTGTCTTGCATTTTGTGCTGTTTCTGAGTGACTACAAAGTCATCTTCATTAGTCCCCCTACTGCCAGTTCTAGCTCCATTAGTAATCTGTCCTCCAGCCTGGGTGCCTCGTGTAGAGAATTAATATTAGAATAGATATCTTAAGATTAATATTTGACAATACCCTCAGAATATGACATTTATGCACTCACTGAGTTTAATTCAGAATCTAAACCTGAAATCAATCTTAAAACAATCTCATATTTCAAGCTGGAATTTTCATTTCAGGGACTTCTTAAAAAATCAAATGATCTGTTTATTACAGGATAAATAATGATACGACATAAATGCAATGAATGATGATCAGATAACAGGGATAAAGGATGAGAAATGAATGAAAGATTTTAGAGGTTATGCTATGAATGATAGTGAGTGAATATTCTCTAAAATACAGTATTAACCTACATTAACTGCACATCCAAATCTTAAAATTTGGTTGTGAATTGGATGAGTTTAGGATTACTCAAATAAGTGATTGAATCATTAATGCAGGAGACAGCATCTGTCTTGTCTAGCGCTGGAGGTTTTCATACTTAAGTGAGGCTGGTCCTTGGAGAGGATGGAGCAGGTTCACGGTCTAGGCTGCTGGTTGTTTGAAAGTTTTGGCTCAGAAGAGGAGTCAGCCGGAAGATGGGCCAGGAGTTACAGCACACGGGCCGAGAGCAAAAACTAGCACTTTATGAATGCTTTGGATGCTTCTTTGGTCTCACTGCAAAACTCTGGCTCAGAGGATGACTTTGGACCTGCTGTGTGGTGTTCAGAGGCAGCTCTGAAATAACGCCAATAACTAATTTCATATTCAATGACATTACAACTACCTAATTATCCTGTCAGTGTGAGATCTTGAGATCATCTCATTTTAACACAAATTTCATGATAAGAATTTATATCGAAGTTGTTCAACATCAGGTGTCATCAACAGTAGTTTGTATTCTTTCTCCAAAGGAATGCAGTTTTTACCAGTGGATGGTCGACCAGGGTTTTATTACAGAGGTCTGGAGGTCAGTGTCCAGCTCCTCAGGCTTTTCGTTGGGTTCCATGCGTTCACACACATAAGAGTAAATCTCAAATGGGAGACCTGGGTTGAGATGTCAATGTTTATGCAGATAAAAGGTAATAGAGTCAGTTCCTGAGAGCTACTAAAAACTGTGTCCCCAAACAAGTCTGGCAAGATTCGATCCTTTGTCCTGGGACCAGATAAGGAACCTTATGTTGGAATGTGTGAGTTTACACACACAGGGTTGTTTTGATGCTACACTTGTCTAATAATGTTTGCAAAGGGGTCCACAACCAAGGAGTCATTTTCGACATCGCCCTTTTCTCTGACACCCAGGTGACCGGAATTATGTATTCCTGCTTTGCTTAACTGAGATACTTGGTCTTTTCTTTCTCCTGCCAACTTCAGAGAAGTCATCCATGCATTCATTTCTTCTAGACTTGACTTTAGCAACACACTTTATTCTAGCATCAGCAAGTACAACATCTAAAGACTACATAGACTTGTTTTATGTATCAGTAGCCTTGTAATTGATTGAAGTATTGGACCTTACTTATTTATATCTGTTGTAGCTTGTTATTTGTTTGAAATTTTTATTAATATTTTTTATTGGTTTATAGCTTTTTATAACTTCTAGGTGATAACTGCGTTGTTTCATTTCTATATGAATGAACTTATATCTATTGTTGTTCTGACAAGGCCATAAACCAAACCTTACTTTGTTGAAAACTAAATTATAAATCTACAATAGGACATATCCTCTTGCCAAAGTCACACAACACAGGGTACACAAGAGAAACCAACAACTGAACCATCTCCTTTCCCCTCACATCTCTCACACACACTTTCTGAAAAACAGAGTCATCATCATCAACAGCTCTGATGTGACAGACTCAATCCACTTTCTCTTTCAGACAGATTTTGGCCTGAAATTTGTTGTGGTGAAAAGCCTAATGGGGAGTTTTTGGAGGGAGTCCAATGAGGCCGATACAAGAGCGGCGTGATGAACAGCCCTGTCGAGGCAAAAGCGTTAATGTGCAGGCTTTGGAGAATTATGATGAGGTTAGCTTAGTGCCCAGTGGAACACATAATGCCACCAATATTTGTTTATGTCACTTTGGGTTTTAATAAGAGGGAAATAAGTCAGAGAAAAACTGGACACCAATAAAACAATGTTCCAAAGTGAGAACTTATGAGCAGTTGACAATGAAGCTAAAGGTCAAATCTGTGTTATTGTGTTTGTACGGGATTTGTGACTACTGCACATAAAAGTGTCTGTATGTGCACATATGAATGAACATCTTCCTGCTCTTTCATCCTTCGTCTACTTCTGCATACTTCCCCCAGTGGGAATACATGCATATCAGCAGACTGCTCCACAGTGCAGTCATCCCACTGGAAAACTCCCCCCTCGACTCCCCCTTCATCTCCTCCTCGGTGGGAAGGCTGAAATGGAGACGTTAGAGCAGCAGAGATGAGGGAGCTGCTGTGCTGAGGCTTCAGTTACCTGGCAGCACATCTTTATTCTCAGCAGTCAGAAGTGATCCAGTGAAGGGTGTACAGAAGCAAAGCAAAGCTTACTTTGTGCAAAACCTGGACAGAGCAAACAAAGACAGAAAGTCAATAGGTTTTACAATTAAAACTGCGGATCCCTTGAGCTGTAAAACGAGAACAACAGAGGATTGAGATCAAAGAAAAGGGGGATAAAGTCTGTTTTTTTATATTCTGTGGTAGCAGCGAATGTGAAAAAGTATTGCACTTTTCAGCCTTTGCCTCTCTTGTTTTGTTTGTACCCCCCTCCCCATCATCTCTCTCTGCTATTGCAGATGCTGGATAAATAAGCAAGCGGTTTGCTGCCAGTGTGTGAAATTGTTCTTATCTATCTCTGCCATTAGAGAGTGGCTTCTATTATAAAGCTTTGCATTATTCAGTGAGCCTGAGAGACTGATCATTATGGATTTCAGCCCTTTACTACACCAGACCCTGGAGTCCACCTTGGCCTGCCGGCTCAGGCATGCGTATCTCTGACCCTGTGCTCTGAACACTCTGAATGCTGGTGCAAAGTAGGAGCAGTTTAGCTTTCAACTGTGTGCTATGATGCATCACACATTACAGCAGGACATACCAGAGCAAAGCCATCAGGGAGAGTGGAAATAAACCAAGAATAAGAGTTTGTCTGTTCGTTTGTCTCTGTTTATCTCTCCATTCGTCTCTGCCTCTCTTTACCACAACCTGACTACTTCATGGCTGTTCTTTAATCAGCCTGGTTTGGCACTATGCTTCTCAAGTACAACCAAATGCCTCCTCAACAATACTGGGTCTCTTTTGATAATGTTTCACAGAGAAAGTTTAGGACCTGCTCATTTTGCAAAAGAGGACATATTGGGCCCCATTTCGCACACCACATAAAGTTTTTTGTGTGCTGCGCGAGAGTCATCATTATTTTACAACAGGCACGACTTGACAGTTTTATGCCAAGCGTCTGCATTGTGTAAAAGCGCCCACATTACCACATTATCACTACCTCTGTCAACAGAACTGACCTAAGCATTTTGCGCATGCACTAGAGTTTCCACTCCAGGCTTTGGTCCAAAGTTGAAAAGTACAAATGTTACTAGGAGGATGGGTAGAAGTGGGCAGGCATTTCTTGATGTTTGTGGTCGTATTTGGTCTGTTAGCACTGTAAGAGCAGGGAAGAACACTTGAGATGATCCTCAGAAGGGTAGATAATTTCTGCTCAGTTTGGCCTGACTGGTCCATGCGAAACATTGCCATTAGCTGCGTTTACATGGGCACAATAATCGGAATAAATGCCCGATCGGAATAAAAATGCGACATGTAAACATGTCGATCGGAAGATTTTGATCCAATTCGGCTCAATCAGGAAGAAATTGTATTTCAATTGAGAGGGGTGGTTTATGCCGGTTATTATTCTGAAACATGTCCATGTAAACACTTATTCCCATCGTGACTCTTTTATCTGACTCGATCTTCACTCTTTAGCCTTTGGTTAATTTATTGTGGCCAGTACAGGAGATTTCATTATTAACACTCTGACATAAAACACAACCACATGTGCTGTGTCTGCTCCTCTGATAACATAACAAGGCGTGCATACAGCGTAATGATGTCACATCTGCACGCTCAGTGCTACCTTTGGCGGAACAGTAAAATAAACACACAAGGGTGCCATCTAGTGACAATATTTAACAGGGGGAAAACTCTTGAATTGGATGGAGTGAACCACCAGGGTGTTTGTTGGTTTGTTGACAGCACAGGCGTAAATACAACTCTTCTTCTGCGCTTCTTTTTTGATCAGATCAAGAAATTTTGCATGACACTATTCTGCAGCTGTATATCAGTTTTCTTATATTTATTAGAATCATAATAATTTTTGATAAAATATGTTTATACCAAACATGATGTGAGGTTGAGACATGGAACATTTATAAAATGTGACTACGTGAAAAAGTCTGTTGTTTAATTCAGCAAAGTAAATTCTAGTTTTACCTGAGTCTTCACTGTGGTAAAATAGAAGTGCGTTAGCATCTGGATATCGATATCTGTGTAAAGAGTTAGTGTACTTGCCTCCCTCTAGCAGTATACTTGATGTCAGTGAGGCTAAATGGGTTTGTAAAAAATGAAGCTGTTGGGGTTTTCTGTTGGGGGAATCTGTTTCGTGCAGTTAGAAGCTCAGTAAAGCTGACTGACATGTAACTTTAAGTTTCTTAGTGTTAAAGCAGACTAAGTGGCAGGCACCTGGTGAGAATAAGAGGAAACATGGCTGATCATACGCTGCTGCAGCACTTTTTTATGGCTGGGATAGGAGATGAATATTGAATAGACGTACAGTAAGAGTACAGGCAGTGCTGACTCTGACCTGACAGTGTCGGAGGTGGGCTGTATCCCGGTGGGAGACACTGCTGCTTGATCATCAGTATTAAACCCTGCACATCAAAGCCTCTTCTTTCACTCCCATTTAGAGAATGAGCTTTGTACTGCCGCTGATAATGAACGAAACAGTACTTGTTGATCTGTAGACATTAGCCTGTGAGTTTTAATGGAAAATACTGCTTGCTGTTCACTGAGCATGTGCTGAGTTAAGGATTTGTTTCAAGCCTGTTTTGGACCTTAACAATTAGGCCCTGTCATTAACCATTTGTTATATTTGCTGCTTCTTGCCTTCAGCTTGGCACCTTGCTGATTAGGACGTGCCGGATCGATGATTAAACAAATGAAGGCAGACTGCCGGCTCAATTTCCATCCCATCTTACCCAGCAGCCATGCCAACTCATGTGTAAGTCTAAAACCCCTTTTTAGAAAAAACAGTGCTAAATGAGAGAGTTGTTCAAAATGTTTGGCTGCACATTTGTTCCCTGTGCTCTGTTTGATGGCTCAGTTTTACGCAGCGCTCTGCCTCATTGATGCGACAGAGAGGGAGAAGTCATTTGTCTCAGAGCAGGCGGGAGCTCTTCACTTGGCAGGAAGCTTGACTTTAATAAAACGGCTCCAGAGAGGGACAAATGGTGCAGTGGTTGATGGCTGCGAATATGACCTATTGGTGGAGAATAAGACAATGTGCTGGTTGTTCAGTTTTCATATATCACACCTCTCTGCAAAGAAAAAGGGACATTTTCTAGGCTTCTTTTTACTCTTTTAGAGCTTCTAGTCACACAAACATGCAAGAAAATCAACAATAACATGGTCCTTTAGCTGCTTTAAATCCATTTTAGTTTGAATGCGGACAAAGTCTACATTCTCAAAGAAGTTGAGTCACCTTGCAAATAAAATAGATTTTGATGGTTTTCAAAACATTTAAACCCTATATTATTCTAAAGTAGTGCATATATGACAATGTTTTTTTGTAAATTGTTATTTCAAATCTGATGCCAGCCACACATATAAAGAAAATATGGCAAAGAGGAGTGTTTATTATTGTGTTGCATCGCCTCCTCTCTTAACACCACTCTGTGAATAATAGCAAACTATAAAAGTAAAATGTTGTCTCATTCTTGTCTGATAAAGGATTTTAGCCTCAACAGTACAGTCTTCTAGGTCGTTTATGTTTTTTTTTTTTTTTTTTGTTTATTAATGAATAAAAAGAGGCAAAAATAAATAAAAAGGGCAGCCGATACAAGCCATGTGGCATCTGTGAACAGAGCGTTGTGAAAAAAAAAAAGTCCACCTCCATCAACATTTCTAAGATCTTTTTTGTTGCTCTTTACTTTTCTGTTCTCCCTGATATTCTGAGATCACCATGTTGTTGTAAAACAGATCTAACCCTGGCTTGTCAGAAGTAATGAGCCAGTAAAAGTCTTCTTTGGACAAATAGGAAATGGAATTAATTTTGACATTGCTGATATCCATGGTGTGGAGTTAATTCCAACTCCAAGGGTGTGGGGGTCCAGGACATTTTGAGCTTAAGAAGACGAAGATGAAGACGAAGAAGACGAAGACAATGAAGAAGAAGACAAAGAAAAAGAAGAAGAGGACGAAGAAGAAGAAGACGACAAAGAAGAAGATGACGAAGATGATGACGAAAAAGAAGATGAAAAAGAAGTAGACGATAAAGAAGAAAAGAAAAAAAAAAGACAATGAAGAAGACGACGTAGAAGAAGACAATGAAAAAGAAGACAACAAAAAAGAAGATGACAAAGAAGATGATGACAGAGAAGAAAAAAAGGAGACGACAAAGAAGAAAACAAAGAAGAAGACAAAGAAAAAGCAGAAGAAGAAGAAGAAGAACTTTATTGATCCCTGTTACGACCTCTTGAAATAATTAATTTACACCACCAAGAGCAGAAATAGGGCTGGTAAAAGAGACCAGTAACATATGCAAAGGACAGGCTGAGACTGTCAACATCAACAAAAAAATCTTAATTTTATTAAAATAAGCAGTAATTAATAATTCAAAAATAAAGCAATGAAACAAAAAGGCTATAGGCGCCGGCCAAAAGTAACAAAAAGGGGTGGTGAACATGGCTAGCTTCACAATGGGCCATAGGACTAGTCACCACCCCTAACTAAAACTACCTAACTTGTGAGGTTTTGAGTTTATACAGCAGTTGGGTTTCCTGTGTTCCTCTCCTTTGTGTGTGTTCTCCCTCTCTCTCTCTCTCTCTCTGCAGTGCTGGAGGCACGGCGGGAGGCAGGGCTGGCCCGGACTGATTGCACGCACCTGATTCTCGTTGTTGTCATTTACCTGGCTTTATATGCCAGCTCCTCTGTCGACTCAGTGCTGGATGATTTCCCAGTCATGTCACACGTGTCTTGCCACGCCGAGCTCCCTGATCTCCTGCCTGTGTATCCAGCTTGCTTCTCAGTGTTCGTTTGTGAGTTTTTTTGTTACTTTCCAGAGAATTTTCCCCTTGAGCAAAGGTGATTTTTTGTTCTATTGTTTATTGTCAATAAATTTGGGCATTTGCCATTGCATTTTTGGATCCCGGCCTTTGTTCGATTCATAACATAACCAAAAAGAACTAACTATTTAATCAGAAAAGAAAGAACCGAAAATAGGGCTACCGGCAACCTACATCTAAACTAAAATAACAAAACCCAGCAGCTCAACCTGGGGAAGATCAACGAGTTAAATATATGAGCAACCTGGGAAAAATGAATAGGTTAATCATTTGACCAAAAAGAAAGAAGAGGTGCAGCCACCAAACCTCGCACCAAGAGAGTGCCACACGTAACAATCCCTGTAAGGAAATTCAGTGTTAATCCACTGGAAGGGCATTCAGAAAGTAGTTATTCAGGTTAATTTTACTGGAGGAGCATCCAGAGGATACTTTTCACTACATTCTATTTGGAGGGGCACCCTCAGGACAGTTTTTTTTAATGATTTATACACTGGGAGACCATCCAGAGGACTCTCTGTTATGTTTCATTTTTGATCTATTGGCTTCAAGAGCAGTGTTTCAAGCATTTTCCTTAGAAAGGGCACCAGAGTGGGCATTTTGTATTTTTTTCTATTTACTAAAGGAGCATCCAAAAGGACACTCTTTTCAGCTTTTCTCAAATATCAGGACACATGGGTGATTATAACTTTTCATTAACGTATTTTTGATGCTAGGTTGTATAACTTCAGCAAAATATTCAAGTACTTAAATTATAAAAAAATGTTACACTGATTCCTCTCATGTCAGTTTAATCACATTTTACTTTGACCCTGTGTTTCTCCTCATAAAGCCATCTATGTATTCTTTATTAAAAGGTTAATGAAGGCACACCTCTACAATTTTAAAAATGTACGATTTCTTTTTGTAGAAGTGAAATGTATGAGAAAGTGACAATTTTCTTCTACAGTAAGGTTGCTTTCTTTAGACAGTTTTAAAGGCTTGTAGGAGCATAACTTTCACCTATCAAGTTTTTGCAAACAGAGCTAAAATAGAGTATGAAGAAGGATGTCGAAATATTCGAGGCTCCTCTGAATATGATGCTGGTTAAATATTAATTTGTGAAGAAACTTGGGAAATATTGGGTTCTCCTGGAGTCCTGTGTAAGAGTTTTCTCTGTGAGCCCTGAAAGTCGGTGAAGATATGCAAAAACTCTCAAAACATTACCCTATTATTTTCAGTGAGTATTTTTGACTCATTTTTACTCTTTGGCCCATTTAAAGTTTGGTTTAAGTCAGGCTGTTTCATGCATGTGCATCCTAGTCAAAATCCTGGTTTGTTGACCCATATTGAAGAGTAAGGGCTCTTCTTTAAGTGTCTGTTACGAGAGAGCTCGAAGGTTTACATGCAATTATATGGAAACTTTTCTAATTACAGAGCTTCATCTTGTTTATACGGTTACGGTGGCTGAGGACCGCCACTGCTGCAAATAAAAAAGAATGCAAAAAAAATATATAATAAAAGAAGTCACTATGGAAGAAATGGTGCAACGGAAGTTAATGACACACAAAAAATAAGCGATGCATAAAGAAAAAAAAGTTACTTACTGCGAAAATAAAAGGATGCAAAAAAAAAAAAACAAACAAAAAAAAAGCCACGACGGAAGTGAGCTGCCGGGGACCAATAATGATGAAGCACCGGTGTCTTACAATCTAGGCACAGAAGACGACGGCAAGAAGATGAGCAAAGAAGTAAGTGGAAAGGTTATTGTTGAATTTTGCCTTGTAAACTTTTTAATGTGTCATTTGGTCCAGCCATGATGTGCCTAAGCTGAAATGAAGTTGAACTGAAGCTAACATTACACCAGACTCAGGCGCTACATGGCCTAACCAAATGACACATTGAAAAGTTTACAAAGCCAAATTAAACAATAATCTTTCCACTAACGTCTTTGCTCTAACCTCTTTTGCTTGCATCTCCACTTTTATTGGCATCGTTAGGCTTGTGGCTTTTTTTTTATCTGCACTTTTTCTTTTTCTATTTGCGGTGGGCTTTGTTTGCTTTTTTTTTTTTTTTTTGCATCGATAACTTCCGTTGTGACTTCTTTTATGCTTTTTTTTTTCTTCTATTTGCGGCAGTGGCGGTTCTCGGCAGCCGTATGTTTCAGCTCTTACCAACACATCCGTGGAGCTCAGAGCATCTTTTTCAGGCTGTGTGTCGAGACCTTCCTCTTTCTCTCTTATTAAGCCATCATTCCCGTCTCTGTTTCTTCGCACGGATGCACTCAGAAGTATGGGAGGAAATACCGTCTCACCACAACACACGTCTGCCTTGTTATCCAGAAGCAAACCATCGATTTAAGGCAAACATTATGAACCACTTTATCCAGCGTGATTCACACTTTCACTGCGTGTGAGCGCGTGTCAAAGAGAGCGAGAGAGAGAGAAAGAGAGAGAGAGAGTGAGAGAGAGAGAGAGAGAGAGAGAGAGAGAGAGAGAGAGAGGTGGTGTTGAGGAGGAGTGAGGATGGGGGACTCCGACCGTGGGACACACTCCTATCCGCTGTGCGTGGAGAAGACGGGGATTCATTTAAGGTGGAAGGATAATTATCTACACCACGCTTCTGCCACGCACCAGTGTGGGGTTAAAACAAACCCACGTAGTCACATAAGTCTGCTGGTAGTAGCTTGCCGTCTGTGGCTTTTCCAAGTGTCACACACGAGGTAATGTGGAATAAAAACGTCGTTTGTCTGTGGCAGGAGTCACGAAGTCATAGACGAAATAAAAACTGGCTCCCTGTTTTTTGGTTGTCTGTATGAGTTGCCATAGCTACCCGTTTATGTTTGATCACTTAAGAGAGATAAAAGTTTTGATTAAGACAGTTTGTACATTAATCGTTTTCAAATCGGCCTATATGAGGCACAATTGATTTTTAATTTTCATTCTTACACAGTCCAACCAGTAACTGACCCTATTATAATATTTTGCTATTACACAATCTTTTCCATTTGGCCAAAAGGTTAATAATGGATGATAATGTACTGCTGCACAATGGACAGAATGATTATCACTAATGTTGATCAATATTGAAGTCACAGTCATAAATGAGGATTATTTATCATTTTTTGGGACAACTTTTCTCCTGTTTATTACATTTTTGACCCACATTAACCTCAAACGTTTGGGCAACTTGTTTTGAGGCTTTACTTTTACAAGGTCTTTGCATTATCTTTGAGAAAACACAGCTAAACAATTCAAGTCATTCATTACAGTAGTCTACAGATGCAGATAATCCAATTCTAGGCGGCTTTCTTTTGGCTCTAATCTTTACAGTGACTTATAAAAACTTAAGCACATAATTTTCAACAGCATATGTTTCAAAACGATATAACTGAGAGATCACTCACCATTTAGCCATTTATGCTTTAAATTCTGCAGCTTCATTATCAGTGCTCACTCTGTCCCTCTGCTTTACTAACACACACACCTGACCCTCTTGCTTCCTATCTGCTTTGCTGCAGATTTTTTACTACTGTTTTAATCACAAATTGTGTCAACCACATTTATTTTTTCTCATGGGAGGAAAAAAAAATAGAGATCATGTTTAAAATTGTTTTTTACTCTGGATATTTAAAAATGTCAACTAATTAAAGCACGGAGCCCTTTGAGGCAATAACATTACAAGTGCTCATGTTGTGTCTGGTCTGTCTGTGATGTGCAGATGCAGACAGAGGCTTCGTGACACTGGCGTGCTTGTATAATAGGAATTCATTACAAAGACAACACCAGTATCAGAACAGCACCGCAGATGCTGGGAGAGGACTGCCAATGATGTCCATCTCTCCCAAACCTGAGTTTGTGATCCTGTTATATAGGGTTAGAGTTTTAGGTCCTCCTACATCCTCTCTTTTTCTCTAAGTAATATTTCTTTACCATCTGCTTTACACCGTGCTGAACTGTGACCTGCAAACCCCCAACAGCTAGGATGTCTGGACCAAAGAGACCCAATGCCCACATTACACAATTTGGTTTTCTCAGGCTATCCCTGGGAAATACCTCAAGGCATCGCATGTTGGTGCTGTACTCCAGATACCACACTCATTTACAATTTCTAATGAATCAAATCTAATGATGTATTTATTGACTGAGGGACAGTTTTCTGTACTCTGGTTATTAAGACACCTAGAAGGGAGTAAGAGTACCAAAAAGGGTTACCATGATAAAATACAAAAACACTACAAATGCTGGATCCTATTAAGTCTAATAGCCCATTCATTGTTTCTGATTTGACAGTAGCAGTAGTAGAAACTAATAACAATGTTGTGTGCTTGACGTCTACATAGTTACACAGTAGAAGAGAAGGGTATAAAATCGTCAGATAAAGGTGTGAATACTCCGCTTCGTGACCAGTTTAACTTCTAATAATTGCTGATCCACTACTCCACATTTCCTTTAACCACTTACTCCACGTAGGCGCTCTGCTACTGTATGACAGGATTGTGTGGGAGCTCTGCAAACAGCTCGGACGACCTTAAATAAGAGGCTGGACTCGGTTGGTTCAGCAGAACCCGCTGCCTCCCTTCAGTGATGCGGTGAATCTGCGCTGCGTTTTGTCCGCTATATAAAGTGCACACAGGCAGCAGAGCTCACAGCTTCAGTGGACAGCTCCGCGGTGCTGAAACCTCACATTCGCTCCACGCACTCACTCGACAAGCCGCGGCGCATGACTGGAAACATGGAGGGATTCTCGTGGAAACTTTTTCTACTTTCTTGCCTGGTTGTTGTGGAGAGCTCCGCGCAAGACTTCGGACAGACGCAGTTTATTTGCACGTCGGTTCCCAAGGATATGGACTTGTGCACGGCCACGATGCAGAACAGCGGGCCAGCGGAGGATCTGAAGACCACGGTCATGCAGCTACGGGAGACCGTGCTACAGCAGAAGGAGACCATAATGAACCAAAAGGAGACAATCAGGGAACTAACATCCAAGCTGAGCCGCTGCGAGAGCCAGAGCCTCCCGGCGGCGGGACCCGGCGGGAGACGGCCGGGGTCAAAGAACACGATGGGGGATGTATCCCGGGGCACCACGGACACTCTGGCTCAGCTGGGTCAGACTTTGCAGACCCTGAAACAGAGACTGGAGAATCTCGAGGTAGGAAAGCAAGGGACAGCAGCGCGGATCAGGTCAAAAGTTCATTAAATTAGATTTGCAGAATGAAGGATAATCCTTTTCTACCACTGCAGCATTGTTCTGCTTTGCGCGGTTCAGCCTTTCTGTCACAGTGAGAGTGGAGCATCATGTAAAGTAAACCGAGAGCAGGGGTCCTGTTTATAAGCTGAACAATATGACGCAGACCAGATGAAAAAATACAAGACAGTAAATATGAGAGTGAGACTTTAAGCTTTAAAAAGCAAAGTGAACATGTCTCAGGAAGTTAAACAACACAAAAAAAGTATCCCCTGTCCTCTTTTAACCCACTATTTGTGTCCTTCTGTCCACTGCAGCAGTATAGCCGAGGAAACAACACCGTGCAGGCGAACAGCCTGAAAGACCTGCTGCAAAACAAGATAGATGACATGGAGAAGCAGGTCCTATCTCGGGTCAACACGTTAGAAGAGACCAGACCGAGCTCCAGGAACGATACCGACCAGCGGAACAGAGTGGAGTCCACGCTCACCTCTCTGCACCATCGCATCACGGACCTGGAGAAAGGTGCGTTTGGATGTATTAAGTGCTTTTTGCCGTGGCTCTACGGCAGGTCTTAAAAAGGATTTAGAGACGAGTGATTTTACTTTAATCTCCCAGTCTTACAGAAAAAAAGGAAATATTGAGACGCACAAATGTGGAGCTGTTCAGAATGCCGCAACCATCGTGTTGCGCACAAATACAGTAGAGTGAGGGAGGAGAGGGGAGCTGCATTGCTTTGCATATCTCAAGACCTGTTAGCACTTTTGCTGCGCAGAGTTTCTGTTTCAAGGAGCAAAAAGTGAGTGTCTAACCTGAAAATGAGCCTCAAACAGAGGGGGATATGTACGCGAAGGTCAGTGGGAAAGAAACTTTGCAGGCTGCGCCTCGCTCTGGCGCCTTTTGGAGACATTTCATCTTCTTTACACGTGCAAATGCGCGTGCGAGTGTTTTTTTTTCTGATAGAGAGGAAGAGGGGGGACATGGAGCCAGAGGCAACAGAGAGAATCAGAGGGAGACAAAGTTTTCTGTTAAATATGAGAATGTGTGATTGTAGTATTGCAGAAAACCCCTGATATCTTTGGCAAGCTCTGTTTTCTTGTCCATAAAATCTGATATTTAAAAAACACTATTTCAGCTGTCATAGGAAATGTTTGTAATCACTAAAGACATAAAGAAAAGCTCAATTATGTATTTAAACAGCATAGTTTTACCTACTCAGTGGTATGTTTTACATTTCATGTACAGGTAAAGAGACCAGGCCAACAGACAAATTCCAGCTCACCTTCCCCCTGAGAACCAACTACATGTATGCCAAAGCCAAGAGGAGCCTCCCTGAGATGTACTCCTTCAGTGTGTGCCTGTGGATCAAGTCCAACGCCTCTCCTGGGGTGGGGACGCCCTTCTCCTATGCCGTCCCGGGTCAGTCCAACGAGCTGGTGCTGATCGAGTGGAGCAACAATCCCATGGAGATTCTCATCAATGACAAGGTAACTTCAAACTGATGACTAGACTGATAATAGCAGCACATATCTCACCTTTTTAATCCGTAAAAGTGTGTGTTTTAAAGTGCAACAAGACAGTTAGAATGTTATTCTAGGTGATCAGGTGCTAAGGTGAGCAGCAGAAGGTCTTTTTATAGGAGAACAGTGACATGATAGATATGTGATATTTAGCAGGAAGAAAAGAAGAAAGTGTGAAAGTATTCAGGCAAGGCTTTGATTACTGAAAAGAAAGAACTGTGACAAATGTGATGCTCTCTGCTGCAGGTCGCAAAGCTGCCGTTCCTCATCAATGACGGGAAATGGCATCACCTGTGCATCACGTGGACCACCCGTGACGGGATGTGGGAAGCCTTCCAGGATGGAGTGATGCGAGGCAGTGGGGAGAATCTGGCGCCGTACCACCCCATCAAACCAGACGGAGTGCTGGTTCTGGGACAAGAGCAGGTGGAGATTTCATTTCTAGATCCTGCACTTGAACAGCCTCACACATTTGGAAACAATCCCGACACAGTTAGGCATTTAGATTTGGTCAAAGATTAAAGGCCTGAATATTTATGAAATTAAACTGAAGAGATATTTGAAGAGGGGCCTAATGAAAGCTTTCCAGTCACATTAGTGTGTAATTTTTAGCAGGAATAAAAGAGCCTGTGCTGCTCTGGCACAAACACATCATTTAAAAATTTCAACAGAGAAAAAATGTTATTTGCAAGGAGAGAGAGACGCACCTTTTGAAGTAAAGCTGCAACAGTTCTTCATTCCTGACAAACTGATTAAAAGAAAACTAATTTCAAACAGCTTTAAAAGATAAACGCATGCCATTTTCCCCCTTTATTTTCCAAGAAAATAACAAAAACTAACAGAACTCATAAGTACCAGCTCTCAAGATTTGCAGCTGTTATTTGCCATATGCAGTCGAAAAGGAGTCTTGAGGGTTTTTACTATTAGTTTGACAAATGGAGTAATCTGAGAGTAATCTGATTCTGGGCCCTGCAGAACTGACAGCTTACAGACTCAAACACCAAATGTGAAAAATCATGAGCACATTTGTCTTTTATTGAGTTAATCACTTGTTGAATCCTTTGCATGAAGAGACCCTTGCACACTCTGCAGTTTTACAGCTCATAATACTGAAGAAATCCTGATATGCATGCTTAAATCTAGCTAAGGTTTAACAAATTTAGTTTTAAAGTCAACTAAATGGCTCTTAAATCCCTTTTTTACTATTTGAAATGGCTAAATATGTCCAGAATTAAGCCATTAGTCTTCTAACTTGATGTCATATTTGGTACGAGTTGAAATCCCATCATTTGTCACCCTTTTAATCTAATTGAGGCTCTTTGCTGTGCTCTTGTAGGACTTGTCACTTACACGTGTCTGATTTCTTCCACAGGACACATTGGGAGGAGGCTTCGACGCCACACAAGCTTACGTTGGAGAACTAGCAAACTTAAATATCTGGAATAGGAAACTTTCTATTGCAGAGATCTACAACTTGGCCACATGCAACAGCAAAGCACCAGCTGGTAACGTCTTCTCCTGGACGGAGAGCAACATCGAAATATTTGGCGGGGCGACCAAATGGACATTCGAGCCTTGCCGTTCCCACAACTGAACTGCATCAAGAGAGGCCTCTCTGTATTTCTGAGCTTTTGTCGTTTTGTCTTCATTTGACGTTTGTTAGAGACTATTTGAGTTATTGGTAAGCTTCAATCTGGGATTTCTATCATTCTTAGGTATTTATGTGCAAAACAACACTCTTCATCTCGAGGGAAAAAAAATCGTCTTGGAAACCTCAGTGAGAAAGTATCGGTATCTGTCTCTCCTTTTTCTTTCTTGGACGTTCCTTTGAGAGCACACCTAAGCTTTTTGTTTGTTTGGCTTATTTCGTCTTGGACTGGCAGCTGGCAATCTGCGCCTTATGTTGGGACAATTCACAATCCAAGAGAGGAATTACATAACCATTCCCACCCCCTTTCCCTTCGGAGTGTGGGAGATTACACTGTCAATCCAATTTTTGTCAGTGTTTGGCACTGCAAAGTGATGTCTGAAGTGGTACGGCTTCCTGAAACTGACCTACCCTTCCCCCCCCCCACATACACAAACACACACCGCCCCTCCTCAGCCTCCTCCTCCTTCTCCTCCTTCTCCTTCATTCTGCCCCTCCCCTCCGGAACTTGCACTGTGACTGACGAAGAGATCGCCAGGAGAGGAGGGTACGCTGAAGGACACTGCAAAGTCAGACTGTGGTACAAGTCGATTTGGTTATCGTCGTTTGCTTCAAGTGTTTCTGTAAGAATGTCGTTTACTTGCCAACATTGCTACAAAGCCTGGGTGCCTTGGGCTGGTACAAATATTCAGCACATTCAGTATGTCATAAGTTGCAACTTCAATGTTTATTGGGTTCTGTTTCCTTTCTGAGCTGGGTTGAGTTCTCTTGTTTCTCTGGTAAATGTACTTTAATTACAGTTTGTTATCTGACATGACGTGTTTTGGCAGGTGTTTGTACTACTCTGTATTAGGAATGTTACAGTATTTGTATAGTAACAGCATGAATGAAAGAGTGCTGTGAAAGCATTGTTGAAATCTGCTTTACTATCTTCTCTGGGTCTGGGTTTTTTACTGTATTGTTATATGCTCAAAGCATGGCAAAACTGAGAGATGAAGACTTTAATTTTTGTAATAAAATTGTGATACTTAATGTCATTGTGCATTCCTGCTTTTGGTTATGTGCGTCACAAAACAAGGCGAGAGAAGGTGACACAGAGTGAGTGTTTGCTCTGATCATGGATGGCATTATAACCTTGAAATGGAGCAGACATGTGACTGTAACAAAGTCAGTCAGAGTAAAGAAAAGAAAAAGAGCGGTAGATCGCGTGCAGTGACTCTTTTTTTAAGCTGACTGCAGATGTAACCCACTCACGGCTCCGTTGCAGCTGCTCCGAGATGCCGTGCCTGCACTAAACACTTTTAGAGGAAAAAAGTGCTTCGTCAAATCTGCCTTTCACTGACCCGGTTCAAGTGAGTGCATCTGCATCCAAAAACTACAGCACTTTAAACTTGACTTTCATTACAGCTGTACTTTGAGGACCTGTTGCTGTAGCGGCAAACATTTGCATAACAGAGATGTGACTTCTGCATTTCAATAAGACACTCGATCTCTTACTTCAGGATCAAGTGGTGAAAGTAATAAATCAGAGCAACACAATTTGTTCTTCAGCTGCTTGATTTGATATTTTACCATGAGTCATTTTGGGAAAGTTCACAGCGAGAGGCTGCTGTGTTTGTTTTTTAAACAGTATTTTGTTCATTGAGAAATCATTCAGCTCCTTAAACATTTATCACACCATGTCATGCTGAATAATTCCACTTAATTAATTTTGCCTTATTATCAAATTGTACTAATTAAACTCCTTGATATTCAGCATATAAACACAAAGGGAGGAGATGAAGATGTAGTTAATGTTTAAATTCAAGTTTTCATTCATTTTTTGTGTCTGACACTTGACTTTGTAGATTAGATTACTTTTACTTTTCAAAGGAGGGTTCAAACTCTGGAATAAACTCTAATACCAAAATATGAGCCACTACAGAGAGTGCAAAAAAACCTCCTGCAGTTCCTCGAATGTCCACTTGAGGCTGGCTGCAAAAGGCCAGGAGGTTCCTTTAACTTCCATGCTAAAATGCCCATTTTATACAGGAGATTTCTACATGTTAAACGCTTTTTTCAAACTATTTTTTGCATCTTGATATCTCATATTCTATTCTTACACAGAAAAAGAAGGTAAAATCTTTCACAAGTCATTTGTTTTAATTATTTTAAGGCTAAGAGTTACACATGGATCTACAGAGACAAGAGTGTAGTTGATTTGACTGACAGCAGCATTGAGACAGTATGTCCATCCAAGCAATGGTCTTTGTTTGGCTTCATTTTGTATCTTCAGAAAGCAGTGATGTTTATGAGACTATGTCTTTGTTTTATAAAGTAAATAGTTTACAGATGAACTGATAATTTACTACCTAAACCTAAAAACCAAATATCTCTTAAGCTTCTGAGAAACTGAGAAACAGCTTGTGCCAATTTGGTCTTAGCTTATCTTGTCCTCTAAATGCCTACATTGTGACTTTAAAAAAAATCCTCTCCCAGTCAAATGTACCATTTAATGTGAATGCTAACATTTAATGCGAAGAACATAATAAAAAGGCTGTGTCTTGAGCTGCTTGAAAGACACCCACACCCTTACATCAGGCATCAAATTTACAGCAGAACAATCATCAGTCTCATCACTGGCGGTCCACTTTGTTTTTCTGTGCTATAAAAAAGGCTTGAGGATTAATTTCAGTCAATCTCATGAACATCACAAAACTATTCACAGTAGCTTAAAACTAGTTATGAACAATACTGGATTTTTGCTGATCTCTGACATGACATTTTGGCCTATACCAATAGAACGAACTCATTGTCATTCATAACACTAATAATAGTTCAGCTGCTGGAACACTGCTCTGCTCATCAATATCACTTCCATAATACTGACCACTCCAAATCAAGAAGGAGCAGGACATGTGATGTACTTTCTGGACATTTATGGCAGAGGCCCACACAGAGGATAAAAAAACTAACCCTTTTTGTTTTTTTCAAAAAGGCTTTTAAAAAAGGTTTTCCAGTTTTACTAATGCTGTTCCTGATGCTAAGACACCACTTGATATTGAAATGATTTATGTTGTAAAATGCTTTTGAATGATAGCAAATATAAAACATTTAAGAACATTTGGAAAGTTGCAGTCAGTACCTAATGCCTGAGACACCTTTTATAAGGTACTCAGAAAGAACGGTAAGGGCTGGTGAGAAGTGCTCTGAAATTTTGGCTGTGGGTGCAACCAGTGTATTCTTGAGTATGTGTATTTTCATGCTTTAATGCCATCATCATGCTTGGGTCCTGAAGGACAATAGAGACCATGTGGTGAGCTCTGATACTGTACAGTAGAGCTAAGCTCTTATTCCCCTTATTTGAACAAGAGCAGTGTTCAAACTGTTGAACTGCTCTCACCACCACTAGCCTCTACTCTTCCACAGTAAGTATTAAAATTACTGTAAACTGAACTTGGCTTAGGATGGAAGAAAATTTTCAGCTCCTTTTTTATAATTGTCAAACATCTGAAAACATTTCAGATATTTTAGGTGCTTCATTTTGACAACTTAAGCATAGACTCAAGCCCATTAAAATCTAAACACACACTTTTCTTTCTTACAGCTCCTGTGAGGAGCTTTCAGTTTGGATCCGGCCTGTGGCAATTTACCAGTAAAAACAATAATGATCTTTAAAAAATGAAGTGATGATATCATACTAAAAATAAGTATACAGTAATACCATGAGTTCATAGCGCTGGCCTTCCTGCTGGTTTCCACACCTCACTGAATGGGGTATAACAAAGAAAGAGCAGCAGCTGCAAGAGAGCTAACTTTAGCCGCTCACTGAGAGATGATTCAGAACTTTGAAAACTGACTAACAAAGATTGTTTTGCAAACCAAAACAAAGTCAGAGCTTGTGTCTCTTTGGGTTGCCACTCGCTTAAACATTTAAACTTCCTAACTGATCTTTTAACAGTTTTCATTCAGTTCTACAATTCATGCTCGACCAGAAGTATACCCACTTTAAAAAACTGTGTATTAGAATAATTTCAGCTTGTTTTGTAAAAAGATTAAAACTCCTCACAGGAGCTCTAGAGAAATCTTACTCTCCCACATGTCATCACAGTATGTTTTTATTGTCTATTTTCCGATCTTAATTCTAACCCTCAGAGTTGTCAGCATACCATCTAATTCATTAAGCTTTAACTAAAAAAAGCTCTTAGGCCCTGGTGGAGGTGCTTGTTATGTCCTTCAGCTTAACATAAAAGCGGATATTCTTTTGCTAAGGGAAACCGTACATCACCTTAATCTCCCATGATGCACAGCAGACAACAGCCGGGTCAAGAACCTTTTAAGAGAATGACAAAGCATTATTACTGCAAGCAAATTCCTGTAGCAGCATTAAACACACACACACACACACACACACACACACACACACACACACACACACACACACACACACACACACACACACACACACACACACACACACACACGGAACATTATTCTGTCCCATAGCCACGTTCGCAGATGGATCCTATAACACTTGGGTTTGTCAGCTGATTGCATTTATAGAAAATACTGATCCTCTGAAAGATGACTTGCAAAGTACTATATTAAGGATTTTTTGGAGAATACATATTAAATCTAGGTAGGACCACTGTTCATAAGGACAGCATTTCCTGCGTCTGTTTTAATCTGCACTGTTTTGTGAAGAACAGAAATATGAGCAGCATGTTATTGTCTGACCTCTGAGTGAGCCCTGTCTTTGGATTTTACGAGGGCAGATGAAACACAACCAGATAAGCCTGCCTCTATTTTCAATGCCGTCACACACAGCAGCGGCAGTCAATGGGTGCAGAGTCATAATCAGCAGGTCTGCTTACTACACTCTGCTAATACCCTGTCAGAGTAATGCTGCTAAGCCCTGACAGAATATTTCCCGATTGCATTTGTGCTCCAGACACCGCTCTGTGCAGAATTGAACAGGGACAAAAATAGATCCAGGTGGTCAGAGGGATGATCTGACGCCTTGAATACGTAACACACACAGATCAGGCTGCATCTGGAATGAAAAATCTAACAACAGAGCAAGCAGCTCCGAATATGATGAATTTTCCCAGTGTCTGCCTTTTTTTGTATATCAGTCTGTAGAATATGAATGCACATTGTGGTGTCAGCTCTGCAGAGGCTGTGTGACTAAAAACCAGTGAGTTAGAAGTAACTTCTGAAAGTCTGCTGGTGATTTTTTTTGCTTCCAAAGTACAGTACATTATATAATGTTTGCTGGCTGAGCACATTATTCTAGGACATCTCCTCACCTGGTAATGTAAACAAACACCATATCTGTAGTGGAGAATAGGATGGGATGGCCCACTTTCATTTTAAGGCTTCATCTTATGTTTGCATTATTTTCAAGTGAAGTTTATATAAAGAGTTTACAGCAGCAGTTTGTCTCTGTGGGAGTGGATGTGTGTAATGTGGTCACTGTGCCTCACCAAAGTGACAGAACAAGCATGCAAATATGCTCCTAGTTGTGGGCAAGAATGCTGAGATTCGGGAGGCATTAGGATCAAATTTGTAGGAGCCAAAATGCAAGCCATGTTTGTCGTGATTTCATACAGAAAAACTTATCAATGAATTTCAACAGAAACTCAGAATTTTCATTATTATTATTACAGACAACCTGTCTCCATCCCATCTCCTGTTCTTATACTGTCTGATCAAGTGAACAATTGTCATATGTAAGCCTCTAAAGTCAGCTCTGTTGTGTTCCGGTTTTGCTGCTGCTTTTCCCACCTTGGCTTTTCATGAATACTCATTAAACAGACAAAATGTGTGCTCTCCCTGCCAAAGGCTCTGGTATTTCAGGTAGGCATGCAAGAGGGACAGGGAGCTCCAAAAATAATTACTGTATAATTTTTTTTTTTTGTTGAGAACAGTGGTCCTGCCTGAAATGTGGAAAGATTTTTAACAGACTTTAGTTCCTCCTGAATCCTGGTCAATTTAAGTTTAATATCTCAGATCACTTCATCTCAGAGTGCAATTCTTTTTACTGAACAATATGTTC